ATCATAATCGAAACCATCCTACCGTCATTGTTTGGATGTGAATTACGAAGCATTGTTTCTATAGCCGGTATAAGAAATGCCAAGGTTTTACCAGTTCCTGTCTTAGCTTTCACAAATAAATCTCCATCGATCGGTGCTCGTGATAACACAGCATCTTGAACTTTCGACATAGTTTTGTATCTAAATTCCTGTTTCAAAGCTTTTTGAGTGTTCGGTGATATCGCCGTGATTTCGTCAAATCGCGCAGGAACATATTCATCATTAGATACTATATCGGATTCGCCTTGTTCTGCTTCTGATCCAGATATTTCCTCTCGTTGAGTTTCTATTCTTCCTACAGTATAACTACGCGCATTAGCAAAGTATACCAGGTTCTTCGTGAGTGCAAAACGGTCGTCCGAAGTGCGTAGCTCGGGACGTAACCTCGCATATTTAAAAACATCACTTGAAGTATATTGGCGAACTGAAAGATTCGAATTTGACCAAAAACATAATAGTAAATGTCAGAATTCCTTTAAAAGCTCTACAAAAAGTATAATTTCAAAGTAAAACTTACGCTGTTGAAAGCCTAAAGATAGTTCTATATTTTTGTTTCGTAACGCGGAATTAAAATTCACCTTCGCAAAGGAAACCGATGTCCTTGTCAGCCTTATTCCACCAAGCCAATTTTGTAGAGACATTACTTATTTTTAACGATCCTCTAAAAAAATTTTTTTATATCAATCTAAATCGGTTTCACAGATCCGCAGCGTAAAACTGTGTAGGACTAATCATATGATTTTAATGTCAGCAATTTTAGACGTTCTTCGTGCTCACGGAATTTGTACGAAAGCGGACACCTCTTCGATCTCAGGGGGCTGTATTAGTGATGCTTTCAAACTCGCTACGGACTCTGGCGACATATTCGTCAAGGTATTCTTTAATGCCTAAATTGTCGCGCTTACATGTTTCAAGATCTCATTGCAATTCTAAAAATAGACACATAACGCTCGAAATGCTGTCGTAATGTTTGAAGGTTAGAATTATTTTAGATTTATATTGTGTTAATCTTCCTTTTTCAAATTTCTTATATTTGAACTTGTAGGTGAAAAGGAATCACTTCAAGCGATCTCGGAAGCTGTTCCGAATTTCGCGCCTAAGCCCTTGTGTGTTGGAATTTTGCCGAAAGGTGGTGCGTTTCTCGCGACAACATTTCTTCAACTTTCCAAGTCAAGCACTCCTGACATGCAAGTTTTGTTTGCAAAAAAACTCGCCAAGCTTCATTCAACAGAGTCACCAAACGGCATGTTCGGGTTTCCTGTGGTGACAATGTGTGGATCCACGGAACAGGATAATGAATGGGAAAAAGATTGGGAAACATTTTTTAGAGAACGAAGGTTAAGACCTATGTTAAGCAAATGTTTGCAAGATAACCCAGGCGACGTTGAACTGCGAAAACTTGGTGAGGTTGTCATTGATAAGGTGATTCACCACTTGCTTAAAGATATTGAAGTGAGGCCTGTTTTAATTCATGGAGATCTCTGGAGCGGGAACTGGGGTGTCGATTTAAACGATGGTCCAGTTGTATTTGATCCTTCTTGTTGTTATGGACACAATGAGATGGAATTCAGCATTTTAACCATGTTCGGTAGTCCAGGACATGGTATATATTGTGTATCAGTGTTTAGAGATTAATCACTCGGTAATTTATTAATACCTTCTGCACACTAATTCAGCTTTTTTCAGGGAATATTATTCGCATCATCCGCGCCTAGAACCGGGATATGAGCACAGACAAGGTTTTTAAATATATTTTTTTATTTTTCGAGGTTCTAATATTTAACTAATAAATTTTCTAATATTAGATTTATATCAATTGTATCACTATCTAAACCATTTTTACTTATTTGGAGGAGGCTATCGAGGAAGTTCTATATCCATAATGCGGAGGCTGTGTAGGTTGGTGGGAAAATAAGCAGTTGGCAAGTTTTGAAGTTGTATTAGCCACTTGGAAAGAGCACCAAAAAAACATTTGATCATAATTATCTTTTTTAATACTATTGTAAATTTATTTATGAAATGAAAATTATTAAGAGTTTTTTGTATTGCATAAAAGTAATTATCATTAATTTGAATTTTTGCATAACTAATCTTCGATCAACGTATTAAAATAAAATATTAAGAAAAAATTGGTTTTTTATAATAATAAATAGTAATAATAATTTAAATATTATAAAAATATATGAAATCATCGAGAAAAAAATAATCAAAGTTGGTTATTTTTGCTTTTTTATAAAAAAAAATTATCGGATAACCAATAGAAAAAAAAAATTTTCGAATTTTTCGTTAATTCCATGTGATTTTTTTTAATAAAGGATTAGAAAGGAGTATATAGTTTTTCGAATTAAAAATTTGCTAGAAAATTAAGAAATTTTTTTAAAAAAAAAACAGACAATTAAAAGAAATAACTTTAAATATATGGAATAATCAAAATGAGAAATATATTAAGAAATATATTATTGCGTATATACAAATAATTATTTTTAATAGTAAATCAAATAAATCAAATCTAAAATTATAAATTTCAAATTATAATTGTAAACTTATTATGTAATTTTATTAAATTATAAAATAACATATTTGTTAATTTAAATTATATACAATTATAAGTTTCATGTGAAATTATATAATTAAGAAATTATGTAAATAATAAAAAAAAACATTTATCCGTTTATTAATAATTTTCTAAAAGTTTTTTTTGGAATTTCTTTATAAAAGTGGTTTTTAATATTTTTTATATTATAAGTTTTAAGCTCATAAATAAAAACTATTGTTGTATTAGAATAAAATTTGGATTAGATAATAAATAGGTTTAAGAAATTTGTTTACTTTTTAATTATATAAAAAAAAGCATGTAATAAGTTTTTTTTATAATTTTGTTTTATAAAATTTTTTTATTTTTATTATTAATATTAAATTTTTTTTTCTAATATTTAATATTATATTATTTTAGTAATATTAAAATTTCAATTAACTTTAAAAATCAAAATCAGTTTAATTTTTTCAAACATTTTATATATATTTAATAGTCAATTAAAATTTGATATTTTAATATAATCAAAAAATTAAATTTATATATGCAATATAATTTTTATTACAATAATTTATAAAATTTAATAAATAAATAATATCAGTTTGATTATAAAATTAAATAATTAATATATATATATATTAAAAAATTAAATTAAGTTAAATCTGTTTAAATGAGTTATAATAATAATGATATATAATAACTTTTTTTTTTGTCTCTAATCAAATTGCAAATAAAAGTATTTATTAATTTAATTTTTGAAGAATAGTAATAAAATACATATAATATTATACTAAAGTTAAACTAATACAATTTTGCAAAACACTTATTAATAAGTTTAGATTTTTATGTAATCTTTAAATTCTTAATACCAAGACTATCATATCACCCACATGATTTAGCTATTTATTAATTATCTTATTATAAGGGAGTAGGTTTATTAAGCTATTATTTTATAATATTAATTATCTTAAAAATTTTTTAAATCTTAACTCTCTAGATATGATCATAAAGAATAAGAAATTATTCCTTTTCAAGACTAGGTATTAAAGATTATGTTTTGAAAAATTTCAACTAGTATATATTAACTGTTATCTCAATATGAATCTGTGATTCTAAGAGATAAAAATTTATATTTTTTAAGAAAAAAAGAAAAGAATAAAAAAAATAATTAAAAAATTTGTTCTAATAAATAAAAATTCTTCAATATCAACTTCAGTTCATAGGAATAAATTCTTTATCACTGTCTGTAATTAGACAAATTATTTAATTTCTATTATTATATTGCTGACCAAAAACATTTAAGATACTTATAATAAGTTTTATATCTATAAGAAATTATTACTTGATATTTTTTTGAAATAATTAATAACAGAAGAATATTGTTACTAAATTGGAATAAGATTTCTTTTGATTTTAAAGAGAAAAGAAATTGGTTCAAGAGAGAAGAGGGAGTATCATAATATATATTGACAAAATGAACACCTTATTATCTTGTTCTTTTCATTATGTCCAATAACATCATTGAATTTATTGTTATATAAAATAAGGTATGTAAAAGTTATAAGTCTTGTTTACATTTCTTGCTATATATAGATCAACCAGTTCAAATTTCTAATTAATTATCATTTAGGAATTCCAATGTAATTAAAAATTCAGAATCAAACTGAAATAGGCAAAATTTTTCAAAAAAATTAAAAAAAAGTATATATGCTTAAAAAAATAAGAGAGAAACTTGAGAAAGATAAGAGAAGAGTTTTAAAAGCCTATGCCAATTTTTTCTGAAATTTTGAATTTTTAAAAAAAAAGAGGAAGATATTTTTTCTACAGATTTTTTTTTCTAATAAAGTGTTTTTACTTTTAATTTTGTAGATAAGTTTTTTTTGTATTTACTTGTTAAAATATAGAAAGTTTATATCAAAGAAAGAAAGAAACAAAAGGAAGAAATTAAAATCTTTAGATATTAATATTGTTAAAGAAAATGTATAGAATTTATTACAAAGAAATATAAAATTTCTTTGGAACATTCATTTTTTGTATTGGCAAGAGAATTTGTAAAAAAAATAATATATAAATATTGTTATTATTTTAAAAAAAATTTTTTTAAAAGAATTTTTTATATATAATTATTAATTGAAGTTATTGATTACTTGTTTTATATATAATAGTAATTAATTGACATATAATATTTTTATAAATACAATAGATGCTTGTTTTATTATAGTAATAAACTGCAAATAAATAAACTTAAATTCTTTTAAAAAGAAAAGAAAAAAAAGTAAATTTATTTATCTTCAAATTATAACTAGATATTAGTTAGTATTAGTTTAGTTTATACATAAAAACTTAATGATTAAATAAACACAATAAATACTTGTTTGATTATACTGTAGAAAAAAAAAACAATAAATACTTGTTTTGTTTATTAAAAAAATAATAATAATAAATCCAATATTTTTAATTAAAAAATGGTTATTTTACTTTTATTTTTAAAAGATCGTTATGAAAAGTTTGATATTTATTGCTTTCTAAAATACACTTGTACTTGTATCTTTTTGACTTGTACATTTTTCTTTTTGTACTATAGCAAAAAATGTTATAAAGGTTATAGAAAATTAACTATAAATGCACTACGTGTTTAACAATATTATTCATTTTGATCACAAGACAGTCACATTTTATTTATACTAAATTAGCCTTTCTGAAAGAATAACAATAGGGAACCGCGGCCAATCAATTGATTTGCAAAAATTTGTGAAAAAATTTTTGTTCCTCATTCTTCTCTATCATTCTACTCGAACATTGAGAGTTGGCATGTGACGCTTTCTTATCCCAATAGTAAATAAATATTTTATAGAAGGTTATAAACACCGATAATTCTGAGATATAGATACAATAGCAAATAATCTTTGCGCACCTGTTATATACTTATTAAATACAAGGAATATCTCGCAGCATCGAGATCTTTTTATCCCAAACCCCTTCGATAATGCCGATGAATAATATATTACTTCAAGATGACCATATGCCTTCCTCCCCGGAAGAAATACCACATGATAACACTTCAACTTTGCTGGATCCAAAGCTAGAGGTCATAGACTCGAATACACCCCTTTTCTTTATGCCCCAGCCACCTCTTGATAATAGGCCCTCGGAAACTGCTTCACAAAGTTCACACCTTCACCAGACTGTTTTTAACTCCATGCCACTAGGTGACATGCATCAAATTAACACTGTAGGTGTATTCTCTCCGAGAATAGTTTTATTCAAGGGATTACTAAAGTTTCATTCCTATTACCATAGTTTATGTCTTCCCCGTTCTCGACGGGCATAACAAATTTTACTCAAAACAGTGCGAATTATTTAGAATTCATCGATGGGAATGATAGTATTATGTAAGTTATGTACAATTTAATATTTGAATTTTTAGGACTTTAAAATGTTTCACATGTATAATAGGAACCTTTATTTTAAACTCAGAGAAACTACCAATATTACGTCAACAGAAGCCGATCGGCAATGCCAAATGCAAGATATCAGTGATAAAGGGTATATTTTTCCTGATCAATGACATTAAATATTCACTAACATTTTTCTGAATGAAGATATTCATATAATTCAAATATATTCCATCAATTATGGAAGTCTACAAATTCGAGTTCTCGGAGTTTCACAATCGGGTGCAAAATCTCGAGTAGAAACGCAGATCAAATTATGTCTACAGCTTGTCACGGACAAAGGAGAAAAAGTACCGTTGTGGTCGCATTTACGTTTACCAGAATACATGGTAGCCAAGGAAAAACTTAAAACCAAAAACGCTAGAAATCATCCAGATCATGCAATGAATATTTCCGAGAAAGGCGTCTTAAATTTAGAAGCAACTGTGGTCTGTGCTAGTGAGATGCCAAAAAAGGTTCTTACCTGTCTCGGATGCGTACAACGAGAGGTACGAATATCATTAGATATAGATATCTTTTTGAAAGATTTTATGAGCGTCTGACATGGTCATTTTCATAAGTTAACATAGGTTGATTATGTAATAATAATATTATAATAATAGCGAAAAAGGTCTCAACGCAAAAAGGAAAATAAGCATTCGAAGGCCAACGCAAATGCTACCCCATCCAATGATGAAGCCAACAAGCCCATGGATTTAGATGACGAAAAAACAATGCAGTTAGAGCAGCGCAAGATATTGTTATTTAACTGCAGTGAAATTGTTGACTTTAGCAGTGGGGATACCATTTTGCCAACACGAATTACCTGCTATTGCCGTCATCACAACGAAAAAGTTGGATTTTGGTATAGAAGATTTCATCTGCATCAGTTGATTTTGGTTTAATAATGTTCTAATGCTTACAATTGATTTATAGTATATATTTCGTTATGAAGGATTATGCTGGTACCGTTATAGCCTGTGGAATGTCTCCCCCCATAATGATAACAGATGATCACAAATCATCCAAGACTAAAGTAGGTGTTGGACGAAAAAACCGGAGATCTGAATACGATCGCCGTAACTCTGCTGTACCCAGTAACAGTAGTAATGCCTCTAAGCATAATGATCAAAGTGCACGATCATCACCTACGCCTAGCAACAGCACCGAAACAAACTCTCGTTCAATAATACCAACAAACATTGATTCGTCCGATATGCCATCATCACCCGTTTCCATAGTACCCACTCAAAATTCCAATCTATCGTTGCAAGCTCCTATTATAAAACAAGAGGAAAATAACAGTATTACACAACAGATGCAATTACAGTCGTCTACATATCAGTTATCGCCACCTCCTATCTCTCCAATATCCCCTATATCTCCGGTTACACCTCTCACAGCCAGCATACCAAATACACCAAATTCACCCTCTGTGGCATATTCCATAGCAACCATGTCGCCGACAACAATTGGTAATTTGAGTCCTATTTATCAACAGCAGCAGTTGCATCAAAGCATTGGTAACGGGAATCGTTTCGGCGTTGCGAACACTCATCAAGGTGGCGGAGGTCCCGTTCGACTACATGTGTCGCATCATCAAAATAATATACCAAGGAGGTCATTTTACCATACTGGCGGGAATTCTTCGGTCATATATCAATCTAATGGGTTCTTACTACCAAGGATTAGCAGGCTGATTCCTTCAGAAGGACCCACCTATGGAGGTGTTGAAGTAACTGTTTTAGGGAGTAATTTTTATGGTTTGTCACTAATCATTTCCTTAAAATGTCATTTTCAATTTCCATTTTGAGATCTGCATATTTACATCATCTAAACATTCATTGCACAGAGGGACTTACATGTGTGTTCGGGGATACGCCTGCTGCTCCAACTCAATATTGGTCACCAAACACCTTGGTCTGTTTATTGCCTCCGTGTCCAACCCCCGGTCCCGTACCTGTGAGTTTTAAAGAGCATCCAATAAATTTATTAGAAAATCCGGAACAAGAAGTCATCTTTTTTGCCTATATTGACGGTATTCTTAAATTTCTGTGAATATATATGTTTTATATATATATATATTTATTTATTTATCTATTTTTGATTTAGATTCGGATCGAGCGTTGATGGAACTAGCTCTCCAAGTTGTAGGCATGAAAATGACCGGAAAAATTGAAGATGCACGAAACATTGCTATGCGTATCGTAGGAGGCGCTGATGACTCGTCAAATTCTGGTGGCGGTAATGCAAATGGAAATATGAATGGAATCAACCTCTCTTCGTATGCCCGACAGATATCGACGTCTAGTAACAATTTAGAGGAACATATAATAGCAACAATCAGTTTGATGGACGCTATCGAAACCGAGTTTAATAGTTTGTCCCTTCAAAATCGACAACAACATACCATGTTGCATATAGCTGCCATGTTGGGTTATAAAAAACTATGTGAGATCCTTATTGAAAGAGGTATTGAGATAGATGTGCAAGACAAATACGGCTTTACTGGTAAGTCATTTGATGATTTATTGAATGAATAAATTATAATCTCTGAGATCGCCTAAACTCATTCATTTTTTCATCATTAGCTCTTCATTACGCTGCGTGGACAGGAGAGATTGAGATTGTTAGATGTCTTTTATATGGTTAGGTTCTATTTTTCTGTTATTGGTCATTTGAAAATTTTGAAGAATAAAAGGCGACAAAAAAATTTTTTTCTCAAAAATAAAAACTTTATTTCAGCTGGTTCCAATGATGCTATCCGAAATTTCAACGATCAAAGTGCCTCAGACTTGGCCATGTCAAGAAATTATGACGAAGTATCAGCTTTGATTGTTGATTACCATTTTCATGATTCAGGAGTTTCTTTGTCTCCGACATCTTCTGAAGAACGTTCTCTTATCGATTCGGGCGGTGAAGATAGTTGGTACGATGACAGTGATGAGGACTGTAATGAGGACGATCGGAATATATCCATGAATTCCGACATTGGGATGTACAGCGCAAACAAAGATGAGTCTCCTAACTCTCCAGAAACTGAGAACAATACCACACCTCATATTTCATGGGTGGACGCAAAAACTGCGAGTGATTTGATGCATGATGAGTTCGACCGAGATGACGAAATAGTAGATGCTGAGGTGGTTGAGGATGAGAAGAAATATTTGAAACAACCTCTGTCTGAGATTGCCACAGATCTCGCAACGGCGTCCACTATTTGGCTTCAAAAAACTTTTGCACACATGCATATGCCAACGATTAGTAAACCTTCAAATATTAATATCACTCTCCCCAATATTAAGATGCCTAACCTTCAAATGCCCAATCTTCAAATGCCGAATCTTCATAATTTTTCATCACCTAAACTCTCTACAATGACTTTTGGTACCAATTTATCAATTCCACG